GGGGGGGGGGCGCTCCTCCTCCGCGGGCCAGATAAGTGCCCTTGGCAGGCCAGAAGTGGCCCGCGGGCCGTAGTTTGAGGACCCCTGGATTAAACCATGGAGTAAAGGTTCTAAAAGTATTCATGACACATTGCTACTGATCACTTTTCTGTTTCACTTCATGCTCCTCACATATATACATTTGCTCCTGCTCAATGAAGCTCTGAAATCGGTCTCCAATAATGCAAACGACACACTGCACCGCACGTAAAGCTATGCTATCAACGAACCTCTCTCCGTGAAGCAGCTGGCAGGCACTGTCAGCCAGGTTCATCAGGGATTTCTTCATCTCCTTTTGCAGCTCCTCAAAGGTGAGCTGAGCTTCTTCCAGGTACCTCTCCCAGTTCTGATTGACAGGAAGATAGGAGACTCCCATTTCCAGCATTCCTGCAAATGTCACAGGATGGGGGCATCTAGGGCAGAGACAGAAAGAGAATCATCTACAAATGGCAAATCATTTCACTGGCTGCTCCTGGACAGCACTTTTCAAACCTTAGACACACAACCTATCTATCTATCTATCTATCTGTCTGTCTGTCTGTCTGTCTGTCTGTCTGTCTGTCTATCTATCGATGTCTATGTATATAATAAAAGTCAGTGTTTGTATGCGGAGGGAGGACGGTGTATGTGGCAGATTTCTGATTGGCTGCCACTTTCACAGGCCACTGTGACCAGCATGGGTGACGGACCTGGATCAAACTTGGCACACATAACCCCCATGACTCCCTTTACATCCTGGTGAGGTTTGGGGGAGGATGGACAAAGGTTAATGGGATTCATAGAATCATAGAATCAAAGAGTTGGAAGAGACCTCATGGGCCATCATCCAGTCCAACCCCATTCTGCCAAGAAGCAGGAATATTGCATTCAAATCACCCCTGACAGATGGCCATCCAGCCTCTGCTTAAAAGCTTCCAAAGAAGGAGCCTCCACCACACTCCGGGGCAGAGAGTTCCACTGCTGAACGGCTCTCACAGTCAGGAAGTTCTTCCTCATGTTCAGATGGAATCTCCTTTCTTGTAGTTTGAAGCCATTGTTCCATTGCGTCCTAGTCTCCAAGGAAGCAGAAAACAAGCTTGCTCCCTCCTCCCTGTGGCTTCCTCTCACATATTTATACATGGCTATCATATCTCCTCTCAGCCTTCTCTTCTTCAGGCTAAACATGCCCAGCTCCTTAAGCCGCTCCTCATAGGGCTTGTTCTCCAGACCCTTGATTTGTAGTACTTTCAAGCCCATCGGTTCCCACAGACAACTGTGGCCCCCAACAAAGACTGATAAAGAGCAAACTTGGCACACAGAGCCCCCATGACCCACACTACATCCTACTGCAGTTTGGAGGAGGGCAGACCATGGATGATGGGACTTGAAGTACCTCCACTCACTTCCCAAGACCATTGCGACCCTCATCCAATGACCAATTAAGACCAAACTTGGCACACATAACCTCCATGACCCCCTTTACGTCCTGGTGAGGTTTGGGGGAGGATGGACAATGGATGATAGGATTTGTAGTACCTTCCCACCCTTCAGTTCCCACAGACTACTGCAGCCCCCAACAAAGACCAATAAAGACCAAACTTGGCACACAAAAGCCCTCATGACCCACTCTACATCCTGGTGCGGTTTGGAGGAGGATGGACCACGGATGATGGGACTTGAAGGACCTTCACTCACTTCCCGAGACCGCTGTGACCCTCATCCAATGACTGATTAAGACCAAACTTGGCACACAGAGCCCCCATGACCCACGCTACATCCTGGCACTGTTTGGAAGCGGATGAACCATGGACGATGGGACTTGCAGTACCTTCACTAACTTCCTGAGAGCACTGTGAGTCACAAAAATGACTGATAAAGACCAACCTTGGCACACAATGCCTTTCTCAAATTACCCAGGCAGTGCCGGGTCCCCAAGCTACTTCAAAATATAAATAAGTGGCTCCTAGCACACTGTCATACACCAAAGCAATGTCAATACACAAATGTCCTATTGCTATAAACTTTAGCAAAAATACCAATTGGAATAATGAGGAAAATGCTAAACTAGCTCGTATAGTACACAAGCGCGGGAAACAAACACATAGGGACTATTTACAACTGTGTAACAAACATAATATTCATGTGATAAAAAATCTTGGGAATGCAACAAGGTTCCTGGGTGTTTATAGTCCTTGTTTCAGGAGGAGTATCCCTTCTTCAGGTTTCTTTCAAGGTTTCTTCATTCGTTTGAAATAA